TCCGACGGCACTGGACTTAACCATGATGGAGGAGGACGCTGGGGGTGCCTACGGCGGCACCTGGCGGCGATGGCCCCGTGCCTGCGCACCTCGATGATCAGCAGATGTCGGCGGGCGAGTACAGGCGCCACTTCGGCCCCATCCTCTCCGACACCGAATTTGAGGCTCAATTGCAAAGTGCCTCCCGAAGCTCTCGACTGGATACAGCTGGCAACGCGTCCAACTTGTCTGCGGCGTCCTCTGATGGCACAGCGGTCTCCCTCCCAGCGGATGCTCCTGGCGACGTCCCTGCTTCTGACGCTGTGGACCGCCGCTCACGTTCATCGAGCTCTTCAGATGGTGCATTCGACGAGCTGATGGCCAGACATGGGTTCGGGGTGATCTATCCCAATGGATCCTTAGGTGGCGCCTTACGTGGTCATGATCCTGTTGCTCCACAGTCGGCGGTGTCTACTGCGGCAGCTGCGCCGCGGAATGCCCCTCAGCAAGATGAACAACCACAGGTGCCTCCAGGTGCCTCTGCGTCGGGGGCTCCTCCTGATGGTGAGGCTGGTTCTCTTCAACTCGATGCTCTTCAAGAAGCTAGCCGTGTTGCGCAGTCGGTTGTACGTGCCTCGCGCTCATCCTTACCTGGCTCCAGTGGCGCGAGAACACTTTTGTCGTTGACGGAGCTTGCGGCCGTGGTCGCCCACCTGGATTTGAACTACAACCTCCCACCCCATCAACGCGAATTGGTCATCTGGCTGCTGACTCACCCTACCACGATTTTGGAGGAAGGGGACGACTTTGGCCTGTCGTCGCCCGCCTTTGGCCGGAACGTCACCCTCCAGGAGGACCTCGACAGCAACGCGAGTTCGCAGCCTGGCTCGGACGGTGCGCGTACCGACCTGGTGTCGCAGGAGGAGTTGATGCGGCTTGCCCGTCCCAATGCCAGCACCCTCCCGAGGGCGCCGCCTCATCCTGGAGCAGAACGGCTTCCTGGGCTCAATGACCACCTTGATCCTCGCGAGAAACCAGATGATGAAGGTCAGATTCCTTACGCGCACCATGACACGTCTGACCCCCTCTCCGTCAATTTCGTGAATGCGCCCGAGGGGAACTTGCCGCCCACGGTGCCCTCTGACGTTGGCCATCCTGGTCATGCGCTACCTCAACTGCCATCACATGATGGTCACCCATCGTCGACCGCGGGCACCCATTCTCAAGATCTCCAACTTCCACATGAAGCGACAGGAGATTCACTGCAGCCTGAGGCGCCTCATGACGATCCGCCTCCCTGGGCCGATGGGTCTGGTGTCAACTGGGACGAGCTGCAGCCCAACACGCTGCTGGCAGTCAACATGATCGTTCTTGCGATCCTCCCCACGTTGCCCGAACCCAACTCTTCCGCATCGTCACTTACCTGGGATGTCGAGCGACCGCCTGGCACGTGGAATCCGCAGCAGGTCACTTACGAGGAGCTTCCTGCTCTTCGCCAAGCCCTTCTTCTTCTGCACCATCTCTTTCCGACTTTGACAGAAGATAAGCTCGACTACATCCATTACCTGTTGCACAACCCCAGCGCGCTCCTCATTCGCGACGATGGTGTGGAGCCGTTCGATCCCTATGATGAGGACATAGTGACGATTGTCCCCCCGTCTGCTCACAGAGCGCCTTTACCTCATGGTGCTCGTTCTGATGCGCACTCAGGCTCTTCTTCTGCTGATGGCCTTGCCGCTCGCCCTGAAGGAGCTCATCCTCTTCAAAGTCTGCCAGGTGCTCTTCATGACCACGATGCCCCTGCTCAAGCACATCCTTCTGAAGCCGCTGGACACCAAGGGGCGTCTGATGGATTGAGGCCCACGGAGGCTGACACTGCTCCAGTGGCGGGTCCTGCGCTCGCTGCCGCTGAACATACGGACGACGAGGAGATGACAGACACTACCCGCTACGCGGTGAAGCTAATGTTGCGGGAGATCACGCGGAGCACTTCAAACCCTTCTTCGGCCTTGCTCTCGGCTGCATCATCTCCCTTCTCGTCAGCGCCTTCTGCATCTACCTCTCCCCCATCTCGATTTCCGCTTTCGGGCTCTCAGATGCTGGCGGTGATGGCGTTCCTTGAGGACTTGGGCTTACACCAAAGTGAGATGCAAGCGGCGTTGCACCTCCTCCATGAGCCTGACGTGTTTCTGGATGCTGGTGATGCTCATCACGAAGTTCCTGAGGTGTCTCTTGAGGCCGAGGCAGCCGCAGCCCTGGAGTCTGGCGCTTCCGACCCGGTGTACCTGGAAGTTGCCGCGCCGCTCCAAACGGAAGCTGATCTTGCCGACCAACTTGGCGACGTTGCGGAAGCTCCTGCGGCTCACGCTCTTCCTGTCCCCGCTGTCGGGCTACCTGTTGCACTGCCTGCCGGCCTCACCGATGACGACCTCGGCGAAGCCACGTACGGCGCCCCCGTCGAGATGAACCCCGACGCCACCCTGTCCGCCGACGCCGTGCCTGTGAGGCCCGAGGCGCGGCCGCGCAGCCCTGGGGCGTGAGGATAGACCTTCGCTCAGGGACGCTCGCTCCTCCTCCTCCTCCTCCTCCTCCTCCGTGTCCTCTCCTCCGTCTTGAAGGTGTCTCGGAGGCTTCTCGTGGTCTTATTTGGGACCTCTCTGGAGCATACTGAGCATGTTTAGGCCCCTGGTATTGCCTTTTGGTGGCCGTGGGGAGGGGGAGGCGTCTTGGGGTCAAACACGGGCGCGATGGTCTGCCGACTGACTCAGCGAAGCCGTCTTCAGGTCGTTTGGTCGGATCTTGAGGTCGTCCCGGAGGTTTTTTGATACGGTATTGGGCCGTCGTGGGGGGGGATTCTGGCTGCGTTGGAGGCTCGTGCGGGCCTTTTGGAGTCGTCGTGAAACTCTCCAGGGCTTTCTGGGGCCAACATTTGACCGAAAAGCCTCGGACGCCAAAGAGTTAGCAAGCGCCTCAGGTGTTGCGTCGCTTTTCGTATACTAGGGACTTCGCTAGAAGGCTCATTGGGGGCCCTTTGGGGGGGGTCGCGGTGCCTTTTTGGGAGCATTTCAAAGCCTTCGAGGGATAGACATCTGAGGCGATGCGGCTGGCGGCTCGAGAGACAGATCCCTAACGTGGTGCACCAGTTTGGCAGGGTCTGGAAGTTTTTCCCGAGGCCGCGGCCAGGAAGTACAGTCGGGCACGTTTGCTCAGCGTGTTGCGCCGCCGGCTCTGGTCCACCACCCTTCGGCGCGACCTGCTGACCACGCCTCAGTCCCCGAGCATCAGCCGTCCGCGCCTCTCCCAGCCTCCTGTCCCGCGGAGCGGAGCGACACGCTGTCCGCTCGCAGGGCACAGCGCGTACAAAAGTTCCTGGCCACACTGCACCGTGCTCAAAAACACCGCCCAAAGTTCGGCATGCTGGTGCAGCGTGGAGCGGGGGTGCCCCGCCAGGCGCGCGGGGCCCGGTGCAATGTGACGGGAGCGGAGCTGTGCCAGCGGGGGGCGGGCAGCCTCGGGCTCGCACACCCAACTAGAGCTCATACGGCGGTTTGAAAACGTCGAACCGTGTGGGGGTTGTTCCTCCAAAACAAGGTTCGAATCAGGTTCGAGGGTCGGTTCGAGACAATAGGAGCTGGTTCGAACGAATGGAAAGGTGAGCCCTTCCCGCGGGACATCCTCGGAAGGCAGGTTCGAACCTGGTTCGCAACCATAGAGAAGTGAGCAGTCCGCGCGGGCCTCGCAGATCCGAACCGGGTTCGCAGCCTGCTCGACAGCGAAGAGTTAGCATGTCACGCCGCAGCGGCTAACATTGGGACAACTTCGAATCGCGCCCACGTAGTCAGTACGGTCGGAGTTCCGGCACGCGCCAGAGCCACGTGAACGCGGGGGCCATCCGAGGCCCTTGCTCCGCCTCCTGCGCCGACCCCCCTGGCGAGGAGGCGGAGAAGAGGAGGAAGAGGAGGAGGAGGAGGAGGGCAAGCCAGGTGCGCGCGCCATATCCGACATCCTACCCCTCCCTGCCATCCCTTCCCACTGCGCTGATTTGTTCTCTATCCGCGGACGCGTGTCATACCCGACCTGGAACTCCGACAAAGACCTCATCGTGTTCTGCGCAATCGGAGGAGGAGGTGGCGGGTGTACAGGAGGATGAGCAGGAGGAAAATGATGAGGATGAGGAATGAGGAGGACGAGGACGAACAGCAGCAGCAGAAATTGGAGCGAAAGGAATGGGAGGAAGAGGAGGACCAGAGGAAGATGGACGAGAGGAAATGAGGCTGGCGACAACGATGAGAAATGATGCGAATCCAGAAAAGTGGGCCGACCTGGGGCGAGAGCGCCATTCTGAATGATGGGAACACAGCGCCGATCCGAAAATGAGGCCCACGCTGAAGCGGGAGCACAAATTTGACTCACCGAAAACAATCGGAGTGTAAAAGATCACGTGGGAAATATAGATGGTCGAAATCCCGTTTCTTTTTTCCTTTCATGACAAAAAAAATGCGGAGAGGCCCGAGCATCTTCCGCACAGAGTCAGGGGAGAGAGGAGAATAGCAAGCAGAATGTGTAATTGCGGATGAGGGGAAAGATCAAGAGAAAGAGAAAGAGGGGGATCACAACGAGGAGGCGAAGGAGGAGGAGGAGGAGAAGGAGAAAGAGGAGGCCGAGGAGGATTCGGAATTCAGGATTCAGAAGTCCGCGAAAGGGTTCCACGAGGGGACCTCTGCCAGGGGAGCGGGCGGAGGAAAGCGGAGGAGGAAGGAGAAGAAGCAGCAGCAGCAGTCAGAGGCCTGGATCCGTTTCCGGGGACATGCCTTTTTCATCGTGAGGCGTTCTCGACGGTCCCGCGGCCCAGGGAGGCCCCTGGAGACGAGAAGTTGCGAGAAACCTGCTCTCGTGATTTTTGTTCACGACGCTAGGGGGTCCAGAGAGGAGGGAGCAGCAGGACGAGGAGCATCAGCAGCAGCCGCATGAAGACCGGGGCCGTCGCCGCCTCCCCGGGGCGGCCCGTGGCCGGGCTGCCAATGGCGGAGCCGGCGCTGGAGCCGGAGCCCGGGGCATGCTGGAGGCAGAGCGCGGCGGCGATCGGCGAGGCATCCTCGCCCTCCTCCTCCTCCTCCTCCGCCTCTTATTGCTCCTCCTCCTCCTCCTCCTCCTCCGTCGCCTCCTCCTCCTCCTCCTCCTCCTCCTCCTCCTCCTCCTCCTCCTCCTCCTGATCATCAGCATCATCAGCATCACAAAATCATCAGCAGCAGCAGCAACAGCAGCAGCAGCAGTCTCAGCATCAGCATCAGCATCGTCATCATCATCAGCATCATCAGCATCATCAGCATCGTCATCGTCATCATCATCATCAGCAGCAGCATCAGTATCAGCATCATCATCGGCATGATCAGCATCATCAGCAGCAGCTGCATCATCATCACCATCACCACCACCATCATCATCATCTGAGTGAGATGTCAACCCGTCATTCTTACACCATGGATAGCATGCTTCTCGATTATTGTCCGGACGAAGATAAACGCAGGCGTCTCGGATCGACCCTCACGGATCTGCTGGATGCGAGTTCGCAACGGGGAGCCCAGAAAGCATTGGAGCAGAGCGACAAAAAGTGGGATGAGGAGCGCTTGCCGAAGCTGCTGAAGGAGCAGGCCCATATGTTCACAAGCCAAATCACGGAGAGCGAGAAGAGGACGGACGCCAAGATCGAGACGCCGAAGAGGGAGGTCATGACGGAGATTGCGGCCATCAAGCGCTCCGCTTCACCTTCCTCTACCTCAGGCTCGGCACCGGGGTCCAGCAGCACAGGTCGCTCCAAACAGAATTTCGTTGCGAAGCACGTGGAGATCAAGGGTTTCGCCGAGTTCTCCGAGGATGGCGTGCCCAATGACGAGACTTGCGCCACCGAGCAGGAGTGCAAGGACCTGCTGAACACCATCGCCACACACCTGGAGTCCAACATCACGGACACTATCGACGTGAAGGCCAGCAACGAGAAGAACGCCAGGAACGAGCTGAACACGAAGATCTATATCATCCTGAAGACGCCCATTCTCGACCCGGAGGCGGCCTGGAACCTCCGCAATGCGGTCACGAACGTCATATCGCAACACAGTCTGAAAGTCCGCGGCAGCACGGCCCGGGTGACCGTGGAGGCGGCTCCAGATCGCAAGCCTTACCGGAGGGCCGGCGGCAGGTTCATGGGCGTGATGAATTCGAACGGCAAGAGCACGGATTCCTACAAGATCGAGTGGCAGGGCGTCCCGCTTAAGGTCTACATGAAGAACTTCCAAGGTTCGCATCGGTCTCGCCTGCTGGCCAGCTTTCGCGACGGATCGGGTTGGACTATCGTGCCGGAGGTGCTGTCGGAGTTCCTCCCAAAAATGTCTAAGGACGACCTCTCCGCGAAGCTCCGCTGAAGTCAACGCCTGGCGCGAGGGCGCCCCAGGCAGCTGGTCAAAGGGATCTCCACAATACCGGTGGTGTCGTGGAACGTCGGCAAGATGGCAGCCGGCAAAGTCGAAGACGTTTTGGAAGAGGCACCGTACAAAGTGTCTGTGCTCTTGTTCCAAGAGGTGGAGTCCTGGCCAGCAGAATACACGACCAGACAACACCAGTTTCACCATGATGCATGTGGGTACGCTGCGGTCGGCGTGCCTTGGAATTTGACGACGCTCATTCAGTATTCGGTCAGCAAGGATAGATGTGCAGGAGTCGTGCTGGGCTCCGTGGGGCTCATCTCGTCCTATCTACCGAATTCTTGGCTTAGTATCGACGTCTACGTCGAGGGAATTACGGAGCTTCGGGGGCTCACCGAGGAGCTCCGCAAACACGGTGCCACGAGGTTTGTCGTTGGCATGGACGGCCAAGTCGATCTTGAGAGCGACGTGGAGGGGACCACCGGCCCGGACACCGCCATGAGGCATCACCAGTCTTCCGATGCCGGCGTGCGGCGCGGATATTTGATGCAGTATCTCCAGGATTTCGGCCTCCGGGTGGCCTCCACATTCAGACCCACCCAGAGGTCATGCACTCACAGACACCGTAGTACCAAACGTTGGTCTCAGATCGATCACGTGGCAGTCAGCCGCGACTTGCTGTCCTCCGGGTTCACCCTCAACCAGTCCCCAACTCTTGAAAGCGATCATTTTCTTCCTATTATTGAAAATGTGAGTGCTCGAACTTTGGGTCTGGAGAGAGTGGTTTCAGGACGGAGTTATTCTGGGTGGCAGCCGCGGTCCGATTCTGACATGCAGGTTTTCCAGGAGTCGGTGGTGGGGAAACTGGGGCTAGAGGTTCCGGGCGACTTCGATACACCAGTTCCGACCTTCCTGGGGCAGTCGAACTCTCAGGACCAGGGGGAAGACAACTCCTGCTTGGAATTGTGTACCCGACAGCGCCGTTACGACATCCCCCTCGTTGAGACCATCATTGAGGAAAGTGCCCTGAACATCGATTTCGTTACGAACAGTGTCAAACATCGCAGTCTTGGACTCCAAACCTCCTCTTCTCCGTGATCTTGATCGTCGCGCCCGCGAGTGTGGGCACCCGGGAGAGCGACGAGAGCTCCGGAAACAGGCTAGGCGGGCCCGCCGAGCCTGGAAGGCGAGGATGGCGCTGGACGCTCGAAAGGTTCGCAGGCCGGTGCAACAGCTCTCAATCGACGGAGAGAAGACGTCCGACAGGAGCATTTGGAAAAATGGTCTCATTTCTCATTGCAGAACAAAACACCACGATGACAGCATCCGGGAGGAGGAGGAGCGGAAGGAGTTAGAGCGTCTAAAATCGGTAGCAAACAGCAACAAGATAGACGGGATCCGGGCCCCGGAGTACACTTTCGACGTTCAGGCTAGAGGGAAGCTTCGGACGGGGAAGGCTGGGGGAGGAGAGAGCATTATCGTGACGGAGATGATCAAAGCTTTACCTATCGCCGTCTGCATTCTCATCCGCCATCTGTTCTCCATGCGCTATTATGCTGTGGACGAGGCCCCGGTCGAGTCCTGGCTTATCATCATCATGGTCTTCATCAACAAAACCCCGTTTCCAAAACAGTTCAAAGATTTCCGCGGCATATCGCTTTTGAACGCATTGCAGAAATGGTATCTCGCCTCGCTCATTATTCTTGCGACTAGACAGCCGTCACCGTACACATGGAAGGCGCTGGCGATATTTGGCTTCGAGCCCGGACTCGGGGTTGAAGATGTAGCATGTTCTCTGCAGCTGCTGGTCGAAATGTCCCGTGAGTGGCGAGCCGCGTTCCCTCTATACATCTTCATTGGTGACGTTGAGGCGGCCTTCGACATGCTGTCGCCTATCCGCCTGATGATCCCAGCGCTCCTGGCCCGGGGCTTGCACCCGCAGCTCGTCCTGGCCATTATGCGTGAGAACATGGGTGGGCTGCTCCATCCAATATTCCCTGGAATGGCGACGGATGGTATAGAGATCAACTTCAACCGGTCTGGAAGGCAAGGCGGTACCGAGACAACGTTCGTGTGGAACTCTGCAATGCATCTGGTGCTGAAGGATCTTCACGCCCAGTGGTTATCTCGAGGATTTGGTTTCTGCGCGATGGAAGTAAGGGACGATGGCACGCCACTTGCTCACCAGCACCGCCAATGCGCTCTGAGGGACCCGTCTTGGATGCACAAGTTTACATTCACGCATCTCGTCTGGGCAGATAACATCATCTTGCTGGCCAAGTCTGCGGGGGAGCTTTCCGCTATGCTCCAAGATTTGACGGACTCTTTCGCCCGCCACGGCCTGAACTGGAAGCCGGGGGATTCGAAGTGGCTCACAACGGCCCGCCCAAGCGAGCCCCGAGAGTACGTGCACATCGTCGACTGCGGGGTGCCGACGACGATCCCGCAGGTGTGTGATGTAGAGTTCCTGGGCATGCTCATTACAATGAGCGGTAGGCCGCTCGATATTTTGCAGCATCGCTTGTCTCAGGCATGGAAGGCTTTCTGGCGCGACGCCGGATATTATCGATGCCGCGCCATTTCACTCCTGAAGAGGTTGCAACACTATCGGGAAAGAATCGCGCCTATTGCAATTTATGGTGGCGGGTCTTGGCCCTGGACAAAGCAAATGTTATCTACCCTCCGGGGCTGGGAAGGGCATGTGTTACGACTCATATGCAGGCCGCAACGGCGACCAGGCGTCACCTTGGCAGACTTCTGCAAGACGGCCACCGGGCAATGCCGCAGACGGTACCTCAAGTACGGCTTTCCGTTGATAGAGGAGCTTGTTCTCAAGAGCATACATCGTTTGTCTGTCCGCTCTCTTGTCCACCTGCAACTGTCGTCCTTTACCACGGCGGCCAGATGGTTCCTCCCAGCCGTGGCGGACTGGAGGGACACCTTCAGCTGGCGCAAGACCAAGTCCGTTGGAAGGCAGGCGGATCCGCGAGGTCTCCACCACTGGAAGCACGAAGCCGGGTATACTCGACCGATAGTGTGGGACGAATTGCCAATCCATGTGTGGGGCGAGACGTGGAGAGACGTGGAATGGCGCTCTGGGGACCGCCTCCAAGCACGGAAGTTCATACAACAAATTGCATCTTTCACAGCCGCGGGATTGGCCAAGCTTGATCAGACCGCTCCTTCCAGAAGATCATCCGCGCTGGTGCCCAGCAGTTTCGGAGGACGTCGCCCACGCGATCTTCCCCCTTTGGACGTCACCTGGGCGCCCGAGTGTTCGTCACACGTCACGGCGGTGGTTTTCGAGGACTCTGAGCTCGTGATCAATTGGATACGCGGTGTGTGGAAGGTAGACGACAACCAGTACCGGGCACCGATCGCAGAGGCACAGAAATGCATGCACAAATGGTTCACTACCCTGAGGTGTGGTCCACGGACGCCTTCTTCTGATTACTTTTCACACTGCTACAGGGAGCACAACAAGGTGGCGGATGCTCTCGCCTCAGCAGCCATCGAAAGGAAGAGCTCGTGCCTGTATACTGACGGTGCTCTGATTAGTGACCGCAGTCCTGTGCCTGGACAACTGCACGCGCAGTTTGACGGAGGAAATCGGGCAGGACTCGCCGGAGCTGGCTGGGTCATCTAGGGAAGGACCGACTCCCAGTGGACAG